AAGTTAATCAGTTTCCATGTATTCCTGATTCACACCAGTATGAGTGGAGAATCAGGCCCTGCAACTTTAATAGTACAGTCTGTTCTAAACATTCTCAGAAATATTTGTTCGTGTGCCTTTTCTCACCTTACCAAAGGCTTTCAGAGCAGCTATGTTGTTAATCAAACCTGCCTTTCTTGCTTCAGCTCCGGTATCTCTAAGATATATCCTAGTTTATCAACCCAGAGAAGGAGATTTAAAAGTGCTAAGTAATTACAAACAGGTTTGTCTGCTGTGTCAGTGGGAAAGCTTCCTGATTACATCTCTGCCACGGTTTTTTCCTGTCCCTTAATTAGTTACTGTTGACTACCCTCTGTCTAGCAAGCTATATCAGGGGTACAAATACTCAGTATCTTAATACTGTAAAATTCCATTGGCTTCAATAGGTGCCTCATTGAGTCAACAGTTAGTACAGCTGGTCAAAAAGTTCAATTTTATTATTGCAAAAATGTTGAACAAAACCATTTTGCTTCACATTTTGTGCTGAAATTTTTGATTTTCAAAAGCCAACACAAAATGAAAATTTCTGTTTGAAACAATTGCAATTTTTCCCTTATTTTACCAAAACATTAACATTTCAATTTGAAACAAAACACAATTTTAATTTTTGTTGCATTTTGAATATTTTCATTAAAAAAAATGTTGTCAAAAATCAAATTGTTCTAGGAAACATTTCAATTTCACTGAAGTTGCATTAAAAACAACTTAGCAAAAAAAATTCAAAAAGCTCTAGTAACTAATTCTGAATATATACACAGTCATGTTCAAACACCTTCTGATTATTAGGTGTGGAAGCTTGCTCCATATTTTACTGGAAAGATAATGATATTAGATTTGCAACAAGCCTGAGGTACTACCTATGGATTCTTGAATTTCATCTACAAACTTGACCAGCAATAAGCTCCTCCTAGACTCTTAGGAGCTGGAAGGTTATGTCATAATTCAAAAGGGCATTTTCCCCAAATTTGTCAAAAGATTTCAGATTTCACATATGACATCAATGATAATTTGTATGTATTTAATAGACCAGTTCCTGAAACTGAAACCTCCACTGTTAAATAACTAGCAGGTACAGCCCCAATTCAGCAATGCACATAAACATGTGCTTATCTTTGTCAATCAGATTATTCACATGCTTAAAATGTAACGTGATTAAGTGCTTTGGTGGACTGGGGCCTACTTTAGTAAAGTTATAAACTGATGCGAGCTTAATTCCTCAGAATCAGAGCACGAGGGCTCTCTGTGGTGAGCAGGCTCACAGGCTGCCTTTGTTGAAAAAAAATCGAGAGAGAATGCAGCAGAACAGCAACTTCTCGGACCACAAAGAATCGGCAATAGTGGTCCCTAAAATGATCTTTTCAGTCTGTGTATTACTAGCAAAAGCAGCCACGCCTGGAAGGGCAGAAACAAATTATATTTATAATTTAAGGCATGGACTGTATGTCATTCATGGGGAAGGAGAAAAGAAGAAATATATCTACATTTTACAACTAGAGAAATTAAAATGAACATAAGCGCCCAAAAGTTAGGCACCTAACTTTAACGATTGACTTCAATGGGAGCACAACGCCTCTGACAATCAGGTTGTTTTTATTTAGGTGCCTTCTCATGGATTTAGGTCTTTAACCGACCTACCTATGTTCCCTCAGGAAGTCTTTGGCATAGGTTGGTATAGAACCAGGCAATGGCAGGAGTTAGTGGATATTGATCCCAGCCAAGCACAGACGGGCGCCAGGAAATAAAGATCATTCTCCTACAGCATTCCTGTTTGTCAGATCTTTATTACAACCTTGTCTGTTCATACCACTCTTTATATAAATTATCTTTATTTAATATTTATTTTGCAGTAGTGCCATAAGCCTCAGTGAGGATCCACACAAACACATTGCGCCAGTTCCTGTAAACACATACGGAGCCATGGTTGCTGCCACAAAGAGCTTACAATATTGTTCATTTCTTCCCTTGCTTGTTTCTAGGAAGATGCTGTCCCATTCAGAACAGTCCAGCTAAGGAAAGACATTTCTTTTCTTTTTAGGCTGCCCTTCATCCATAGAGCAACTCCACTGGAATCAAAAAGAGTTTTGCCAGGGCCATTTGGGCCCTAATCTTGCAAAGAGTGATGCACATGCTTAACTTCACTTACTGTGAATAGTACCACTGGAACCGATGGAAGAATTAGCACTGTGCAAAGTTATGCAATGCGTAATTCTTGGCAGGACAGGATCCTTGGTTTGCATTTCTCAACTAGTTGGATATATTAGGTTTTCTGGGAACCTTTGTGTTGATTCATATTAAAAATAACCCAGCATGGGGCGCTTCAGAGGATGGGGCTTTGTTTCTGACTAGTTGAAAGGCTGGATTGGCTTTTTGTTTTTCCCTTTATGTAAAAACCTTTTATTTAGCTTTGCATCAGCTACAATTTAGGCCCCCCTAACACCTGTGAATAAAGACTTTAGGAGGGGTCACTACTGGTGCAAGTCTTTTCATTGCTGTCTGATGAGGCTGGCTCACACTGCTAACATATTGAGTTGTGTTATAGGGATGTGATGTAACATACATTATTTCAGCCTGTTTTGTGTGGCTAAAGCCTCTGATCCATGCTGCAGAAGTCTGATGGAGACACACCTCTCAAGCTGCCTGTGACTGGTGGAGGAATTCCTTGTGAGTGTTTCTCTGCATTTACTGCCCACTTGTTCCTGTCATGGGGAGTGCAGCATGTTTCTGCTTGGCAGTGGGACTTGTTGCTTCCTTCTCCCCAGGCCATAACACAGCAAGGATGGTGTGGGAGAGGCCTGGAGAAGGTACTCTTCAGTGGCCATATTGGTATTTTTCTGTTAGCATATTATTCTGTTATTCTGTTAGAAGAATATTTGAAAATAGGTCTTTATCTCTGAGGCGAATATTAATTCCACCTCTAAGCTTTGTAAAGGCTCCAAGAAGCTTGGGTGTAAGCGCTTTGTTAACTGAGAGAACACCTATGTTAGAAGCAACACAAAATAAGGGGGACAATGTGGAATGAAACAGAGCAATATGAATTAAGTGGGAAAATTTGTTTGCATTCCATAGACCAGTGGTTCTCAACCAGGGGTCCGGGGCCCCCTGGGGGGTCATGGGCAGGTTTCAGGGGATCCGCCAAGCTGGGCCAGTGTTAGACTTGCTGGGGCACAGGGCTGAAAGCCGAAGCCCCACTACATGGGGCTGAAGCCCAAGGCTCAGAGCCCCGCCACATGGGGCTGAAGGCAAAGCCTGAGTAACTTAGCTTTGTGGGGGCCCTGTGGTGTGGGGACCCAGGCAATTGCCCTGCTTGCTACTCCCTAATGCCAGCCCTGGCTTTTATATGCAGAAAACCAGTTGTGGCACAGGTGGACTGTGGTGTTCCTATATCATGTTGAGGAGGCGGGGGGAGGCGGAGGACAGGACTGTGAAAGAAGAAGGTTGAGAACCCCTGCTATAGACACCAGTGGACTTAAACCTAGGATCAGTGTGATTCAGTGTTTTGAGGCGGGAAGTGATTTAGTAAGAATCACACAAATAATTCCTTGTCTTGGCTATTGTCTTCTGACATTATCAGGAAGGCTGCAGTGCCAATAGCACATAGCTTCTTCCTTGTTTCTAAGGCTAAGCTGCACCCCTGCAGCACTTCATTGTAGACACTACAGGACCGAAGGGGTTCTCCCATCGGCCGTCGTAGTAAATCCACCTTCTCGAGAAGTGGCAGCTACATCGAAGGAAGAATTCTTTCATCGAGTGAGGATTGTCTACACTGGGACTTAGGTCGACTTAACTGTGACACTCAGGGGTGTGGATTTTGTGGATGTAGCTGAGTTGATCTAATTTTCTAGTGTAGACCAGCCCGCAGACTAGAGTGTCTCAAGCTATGGGCAGTGGATCATGAAGAGGTAGCTGGTCCCATGATGCTAATTCAATTTATCTCCACCTGGAAAGTCACATTAAAAGCAGGTAAAAATATATAAGATACTTTCTGGACATCTCTTTCTAAATGTAACAACCCACCCTGGGTTCAAACCTAAGACCTTCATCACCAGCACAGAGACCTGCACTGCTTGAGCTAAAGGAGTAATGCCATTACCTATTAGCTGTAATAGGTTGTTAAATTATCTGCCCTGGAGAGGAACGCAACACACATTTTACATGGATATGCAATTGTTGTAACTGCCACAGAGATGTTATTCAGTTGTGAATTATAGCAAAAGTGGTCTCTATTCAGCTGTGTTTAGGAGGGGAGGTACATGCACGAGACATTCTATATTATGATGTGGTCTGCACTAAAGAAAAATTTGAGAACTACTGTTCTAGACAAAACTGTATAATTATTTTTTAAAAACACATCATGGTGCATTTAATTCTAGAATACACATTTCAGATCAAATTCATCCCTGCTGCATGTAACTCCACTGATTTGAATTAAATTACATCAGTGCATCCGATGAAGTGAGCTGTAGCTCACGAAAGCTTATGCTCAAATAAATTGGTTAGTCTCTAAGGTGCCACAAGTACTCCTTTTCTTTTTGTGAATACAGACTAACACGGCTGCTACTCTGAAACCTATCAGAGACTGAGTTGATCACTTGATTCTTTCTTTGATTCCTATCCCACAGTGAGGAGCCTATAAACCTGCCATTTTGACTTTTAGTGGGGTCATTTAATCAGTGCTCTCTACCTGTACATGAATCCACATTTTGAAACACATTAGTCACAATTACCCCATTATATCTTTCTCTCTCACCATGTGGGCTTCTACCTACAGCCCTAACACAGTAGACAGGGTTTGCCCTGCAGAACATCCCTCTCCGCGTTGGACCCATCTGCAGCCACATAAACCAGCATGTCTAACCTAAACTCGCTGCAAAAACATTTCTGGTCTGTCATGGCCACCGTAAAGCGTCTGCCATCAGACTCTTGTAATCAGATACGTAACCCCCCCACCCCGATCAGTTCCCCGCCAGCCTGGCTCAGAGCTCTTCCCCATCGCGATTAGGCTGAATCTGTTTATTGTCGCTCCTGGGGCTCCGCCACCAACTTTCCACGCAGTGCGCTCTAGGGCAGGGGGAGAGCGGGCAGCTGGGTCCTGCGATCTGGGCTGCATTTACAGGGGCACATGCCGCTCTAGAACCCCGCTGGAGCTCGCAGGGGTTCTGGAACCCGGCCCAGTGCGTTCTAAGCGCGGGGGGGGCAGCGAGGGTTTCCGCTGCTCCAGCTCCATGTGCAGTGCTGGAAATCGGCCGACTCGCATCCGAGTGGCGCCCCTCAGCCCCGGGCTGGGGGAAGCAGTGCTAGAACCCGGCGCAGTGCGATCTAGAAGGCAGACGCCACTGCCGCTTCTAGGACCCGCTACGTTCTAGAGGGCGCAGGGAGCCGCTCTAGAACCCAGCCGGAAAGCCCCGAGGTTTAGCGCCTCCGCGGCAGGTGGAGCAGTTTTGGAGCCCGACGAGCCGCGTTGCAGCGATCGGCGCTGAGCCGCTTTAGACCCCGCCGGGACCCGATCTCTGCAGGGGAAGGGGGCAGCTCTAGAACCCAGCCAGCGGGGTCCAGAGGGGCTCGCCCGGTGCAGCCATGCTGGAGCCGGCGGTGCGGCTGGCCCTGGGAGCCGGCGAGCTGGTGGCTCCGGGACCGCAGCTCTCGGAGCGGCTGGCCGAGCTGCAGGCGCAGGTGCTCGCTTCCCTCTGGCCCATGCTGCTGCTGGGAGGGGCCGTGGCGCTGCTTGTCCTGTTGGGGATGCTCCGGCGCTGGGGCCGGGCGCGGCCGGGCCCCCAGCGCAGCGCGGCGGGCGAGGAGGGTGGCGCTGGGTCTGCCAGCTACGAGGCCGGACGGCTGCCAGCGCGGGCCCCGCGGACCCAGAACGGGATAGCTGGGCAGCAGGAGCAAAGGGCGAGGCAGAGCCACGAGGCAAAGGTAAGGACCAGCCCTTCCCCTATCCTACCCCCATCCCTAACCCTTGCACAGGGGGTCTGCCCGTTCCTACCAACCCAACCCCTAACACAGGGTTCCTCCATCCCAGTCCCTACTGCAGGTGGCCCAGCCTACTCTCAGCACAGGATTCCTCTCTCCCACTCTCCTTTCCAGGGGACCCAGCCCCCTCCCACACTACCCCCAACACAGCATCCCCCCCATCCCACTCCTCTCCACAAGGGGATCCCAGTAGTGAATCTCCCATCCCCTTTACTGGGGGCTCATACAGTCGTTTGATCTCCCAACCCAGTGCCCTGCACAGGGGGCCCTATCCATCTCAAGCACAAGGTTCCCTCTTAGCATAATTCCCTGCACAGAAGTGTGGGATTCTTCTCTTTCCCCCATTACATTTACAGGCCTGGGGCCCATCCTATCCTTTCACCACATCCAATCCCACTTTCCAGCATAGGGTATCACTCTCACTGGCAGGCCAGTTGTCAGATCCCACCCCTCAAAGTGTGTGTTTAGAAAGAACTGTCCTACTCTCTTCCCGATAAAGATACATAGTCCAATGTCAGAGCTAGACTCTGCACCCTAATTCATAGGGTAACCTCTATTCACAAACATAAGAGTTAGTGGAACTGCTTAATTAGGTATTATGAGCAGGACTGAGACACAGTTCTCAAAGGTATTTAGGTGCCTATCTCCCATGGAAATCAATAGGAGTTAAGCACCTACATACTTTAGAGGATCAGGGCCTGAGCCTTTATCTTGTACACTAACTATATCCCCCAAACAATTTATGGGACAAGACAGGGTTACCACCTTTCCCATGGTTTCTGGTATCGTCCTGCTTTTCCTACTGTTCATATACCTATTATTTATTGCTAAATAACGGGTAAGTCCTGTTGCATTGAAGTATGTAGTAAAAGTTCTGTTGGCTTCAATGGTAGTAGGATGGCGGACCTAAGCACTAAAAGTTTCTATTCATGTTGCATCAAAACTTCATTCTATAGCATGGCCACCTGATCTTGGTTGCAATGTGATGAGGTTTTGCAGCAATACTGATCATCGTGGTCGGGTTTTGATACAATGGGATGGAGTTTTGATGCAGCATTGTCACAGTTTGCTGTGACACTGCAGCTTGCTCCATTAGGCACTGTGTAAAGCAGAAACCCTCAGGACTTACAGAAAACAGCTGGGTAAAGACACTAGTATGTTAACAAAATGTAAACTGTCATGGCAAACATTGTATATAAAACAAATGAATAGATACAACATAATTTGAACAGTCTGGTCTATTAGTATTATTTGTTAGCTGCTTCATTCAGGAAGATAGGAGGGGAAAAAAAGCATATTTTCTGAATTTGTCTTTTAGTATGGTACTTCTGTGGTATCTTTTGCTCTTGCCGATAGATATAAATGTGTCAATATTTTCATCATAATTCTTGTTTCCAGGGATTTATTACTTGGCCATAAAAGTTACCTTCAGGCTGAATCTTGGCTGTATTATATTTTAACTCATTAGTTCATTTTTCAAGCATTTTTTTTTTTTTTGCAAATGAAAACAGAACACTGGCCGGATATAATGAACTAATAGATATGTGGGCATTTGTAATGATCATATCACTGAAGTAATCCTAAAGTAATTACCTATGTAAACAGAATGAGGAGAAATTTCAGCAAATATGTTACTTCAACATTTGTAACTGTTTTTCAGATCAGCAGAGTGTAGCTCAAAACTGGCGGATTTTATGCTTCTATGAGTCATCCCAGCGTGCACACTGCTGGTGATGTTACTGTGAGTGTAGGCCTTTTTTATACGAAGTAGTATCATTGTTTTATTATCATCAGTGCTGAAAAATTTGATCTGGTTGTAAATAATCTGAAAATACAATTTGGGCAGAAACACTGACTATTGGAGCTGGAAGGGGGTGGTACTGGAGATATACATTATTCCCAGGGGCAAGTATGTTTTTGAGCAGGTACTTCATAGGTCTGAATAATGGGGGGGGGGGGGGAAGGTAAATTAAAATGATACATTTGCTCACATGCTGTTACTAAGCTAAGGTTTCCATCATTAATCTCTTTTTTTGGTGCAATTGGTTCTTGCTTTCACACTGGCTCCTTAAATGTCAGATTCTACCAACTGTACTCATGTTGACTAGCACCTTATTCTGTGGGGAGCCCCACTGAAATTGATCTGAGTGTACATGTGGCAAATTATGGACCTAAAGGGGATGGGGCTGGGGAAGAAAGGGAGAACAGGAAAAATAACCTAAGAAGAAAAGAAACCTTTCATGCTTGATTAAATGAAAAATAGTGCTCATACCAAAACTGTAATCTGCCCTTTCTTTTTGTTTGCTTGCCTCCATTCCTTTTCTTCTTTTCCCCACTCCACACTGTCGTTTGTCATTTTTCACTGTTTTACCTGTATAATCTGGAATGTAACATTCTTGAAGCAGGAACCTTATCTTCTAATATGTATGTAAAGTGCAGTGTGCACCTAGAGAACCACATATTAACTAGGCTTGGCAGTATTTGATTTTATAGTTTTGATGTTTATTTTCAATCATTTTTTAATTTTTATCAATTTAAATGTTCAAAATTGTGCAAAATTATGGGTTTTAAGTATTTTTTCTGATTTTTATTTATTTTAAATTTTCATAGGGGCGGGAAGTTATGTGGTTAATTACTTAAGTACAGTAGATTTTGAGATTGAGATTCAAAACGTTAAGTTAAATCTTTATAACCATTAAAAACATACGTAGTCAACAGCATCTGTCAAAATGTGCAAAGTAAAGAGCCTTAAATAAAACTCTGATAAATTCTCAAGCAGCATCTTTTTCACTTCGTCTATCTGTAAATTTAGATTATTATTGTTGGAAGTATTTTTTTGTTGGTTTGTGTGTATACAGTGAAATTGACGTTTACCGATAAAAATCTAATCCTTCCAAGTCTATGTAAACTGAATGATGATAATCATTTAGAATTCAGTAGTTAATGCTGAAGTTGCAGAACATTTAATATACTGATATTATACTTTAATATACTGAAATTAGCATATCAAGAACTATATTAAAACAGTGCCAGAGACTGTAAAAAGCAAAGAATTTCACAATAATGAAACATCAAGATGTAAGAAATAGCATAAGCCAGAGTGTTCAGATATTACATGATAGTACCCCATCTTTGGTGCATGCTGAGATATGAGGCCAAAGACAAAATGCCTCCAGCACTCAGGTGTGTTGATATATCACAGCAGCCAAACATCTGCATATCCTGGAGTGTGTAATTCTGCTGATAAAGTTGAGATTTTTAATTTAAAAAAACCCCAAGGTGGTTAATTATCTTTTCCAGTTTTGGAATGTGTGTATGGCAGGCCATGGTCCCCTGTCCAGGGAGTCTGCGTTGTTACATTTGCCCAGTTAGCTGGTGCCCTGCTAGTTAGAGGTTCAGTTAATTGCTTCCATATTAATACACTGGGAACTCAGCTAGTGCATGCTTGCTGTGTGTGCCATGTGCCTCAGACTGTCACGGCACTCCACAGAGAGAGAGAGAGAGAGAGAGAGAGCGCAACAATGCCCCCTGCTGACCTCCGTTGTTCCCTGCTGGCATTCTGCTCCCAGCCGCAACCCTGAGTGCCACCAGTTCACTTCCCACTCCTCCCCTAAAATCCTGCCCTGGCTGCTAAGGGTACGTCTACACTGTGATTAAAAAAAACCTGCTGCACCAAGTCTCAGAGCCTGGGTCAGCTGAGTTGCGGGGCTATAAAATTGCAGTGTAGACATTTGGGCTTGGGCTGGAATCCTTGACTCTGAGTCCCGCCAAGCCCGAACATCTTCACTTCAATTTTATAGCCCCACAGCCTGAGTCAGCTGACCTGGGCCAGACGCTGCCATGCCACTGGTCTTTTTATCGCTAGGTAGACATACCCTGAAGGCAGCTACATGGCCTCATCCATTCTAGCATCAGTGGCAATGCTGTGATGCTCCTGTGGTTGTGCTCTCTAACCTATGTGAACATGCTCAAGAGCAGTCACATTATGATTCTAACAATGTCAGTCCCTCTGGCCATCTGTTTGTCTTTCATACTGCAGAGTAATATGGTGACATGAGCACCAGCTTCAAGAGAAATATTGTGCATCAAGAAAAGAACCAAGTCAGAATTTCTCCTTCAGCACATCTGAAGTGTGTACATGTAAGAGCGCGTGGCGACCCTTCCTGTCAATCTCAAAGGGAGGCCATGTCCCCTCACTGTTACGTTCTGCGAAAGGCAGTCAGGAACAAGGGGAAATTAGAAAAGGAGTTCTGGCTCTGTCAATCTGTTTCTTCACTTCAGCAGGTGGGTAGTGTAGTTGTAAGAAGATGTCATCAATGTAGCGCAAGTAGAGTAGGGGCATTAGGGGACGAGAGCTGAGGAAGCGTTGTTCTAAGTCAGCCATAAAACTGTTGGCATACTATGGGGCCATGCGAGTACCCATAGCAGTGCCGCTGATTTGAAGGTATACATTGTCCCCAAATGTGAAATAGTTATGGGTGAGGACAAAGTCACAAAGTTCAGCCACCAGGTTTGCCGTGACATTATCGGGGATACTGTTCCTGACAGCTTGTAGTCCATCTTTGTGTGGAATGTTGGTGTAGAGGGCTTCTACATCCATAGTGGCCAGGATGGTGTTATCAGGAAGATCACCGATGGATTGTAGTTTCCTCAGGAAGTCAGTGGTGTCTCGAAGATAGCTGGGAGTGCTGGTAGTGTAGGGCCTGAGGAGGGAGTCTACATACCCAGATAATCCTGCTGTCAGGGTGCCAGTGCCTGAGATGACGGGGTGTCCAGGATTTCCATGTTTATGGATCTTAGGTAGCAGATAGAATACCCCAGGTCGGGGTTCCAGAGGTGTGTCTGTGTGGATTTGTTCTTGTGCTTTTTCAGGGAGTTTCATGAGCAAATGCTGTAGTTTCTTTTGGTAACACTCAGTGGGATCATAGGGTAATGGCTTGTAGAAAGTGGTGTTGGAGAGCTGCCTAGCAGCCTCTTGTTCATATTCCGACCTATTCACGATGACGACAGCACCTCCTTTGTCAGCCTTTTTGATTATGATGTCAGAGTTGTTTCTGAGGCTGTGGATGGCATTGTGTTCTGCACGGCTGAGGTTGTGGGGCAAGTGATGCTGCTTTTCCACAATTTCAGCCCGTGCACGTCGGCGAAAGCACTCTATGTAGAAGTCCAGTCTGTTGTTTCGACCTTCAGGAGGAGTCCACCCAGAATCCTTCTTTTTGTAGTGTTGGTAGGAAGGTCTCTGTGGATTACTATGTTGTTCAGAGGTGTGTTGGAAGGAATTCCACCATGATTTCAACAATTTCCATCCCACCATCAACCTCAGCCTGGACCAGTCCACACAAGAGATCCACTTCCTGGACACTACGGTGCTAATAAGCAATGGTCACATAAACACCACCCTATACCGGAAACCTACTGACCGCTATTCCTACCTACATGCCTCCAGCTTTCACCCAGATCACACCACACGATCCATTGTCTACAGCCAAGCTCTACGATACAACCGCATTTGCTCCAACCCCTTAGACAGAGACAAACACCTACAAGATCTCTATCAAGCGTTCTTACAACTACAATACCCACCTGCTGAAGTGAAGAAACATATTGACAGAGCCAGAAGAGTACCCAGAAGTCACCTACTACAGGACAGGCCCAACAAAGAAAATAACAGAACGCCACTAGCTATCACCTTCATCCCCCAACTAAAACCTCTCCAACGCATCATCAAGGATTTACAACCTATCCTGAAGGACGACCCATCACTCTCACAGATCTTGGGACACAGGCCAGTCCTTGCTTACAGACAGCCCCCCAACCTGAAGCAAATACTCACCAGCAACCACACACCACACAACAGAACCACTAACCCAGGAACCTATCCTTGCAACAAAGCCCATTGCCAACTGTCCACATATCTATTCAGGGGACACCATCACAGTGCCTAATAACATCAGCCACACTATCAGAGGTTCGTTCACCTGCACATCCACCAATGTGATATATGCCATCATGTGCCAGCAATGCCCCTCTGCCATGTACATTGGTCAAACTGGACAGTCTCTACGTAAAAGAATAAATGGACCCAAATCCCATGGACCCACTGTATTTTCAACTGAATGCATCCGATGAAGTGAGCTGTAGCTCACGAAAGCTTATGCTCAAATAAATTGGTTAGTCTCTAAGGTGCCACAAGTACTCCTTTTCTTTTTGCGAATACAGACTAACACGGCTGCTACTCTGAAAAGGGGAAATTAGCGGTCTTTGGTGCCCAGGCTCTCTGAGCAGGGCTGGGCAGCAATAACGCTCTGGGCCTCAAGCCTTCCAACAATGGGGAGCCCCAAATGGTTTAGGGCTCTGGCCCTCAGACAGGGTCGAGCAGTCAATAATCTGGGAGCCAAGCCTTCAATCACCCTGTCTGTGTTAAAATGTGTTGCCTGACACTTTTTATCCTGGTCTAGACATACTCTCGGGCAAACCACAAATGTTTCTGTCTTGGGACAAATGTTTGTAGACTTTCTAGACGATCTTTAATACAGGTTTTTAACTCATTCAAATCAATTGGCAATCAATTAATTAAGTTGTAGCAAGGCCACAAACTCAAGTCTAGACCTAGCTTGGGATTATTGTTAATTTCTGTGTATTCTTTCAGCCTGATCACATGTGACTGAATCCCATAGAGGTGTATTACAAGAATTGCAACATTGTGCTTATAGGAATGTATTTTCCCCATAATATAACATTTTTGAATATCCATGTTCTAGGTTCCAGTGAATTGTCAGCTTCTAACCTCTGTCAGCATGAGAGAAAAAAAGCTACTGAAGGTACCACTATTAGTTCCAGAATTTACACAGTATTTCTAAAATGATATTTGTTTTAAGAATATTCTTATTTTCTATTATGGTTTTTGTAAGCATAACACGTTCCTGTTATCTGAAAGACTTAAAGACTTGCCGTTAGGAACACAGAAGTTGCCAGACTGGATCAGATCCAAGGTCCATCTAGTCCAGTATTCCATGTCCAGGAGTGGCCATCACCAGATGCTTCAGAGGAAGGTGTGTGACCTCCTCAGGCAGTGATGGGATAATCTGCCTCCCCACACAAGTGTGTTATACTTAGAGAGTGGTTTAAGCCCAGAAGCACAAGTTTTAATGTCCCTTCCAAAACTGTTGACAATAATTATGATAACTAAAAAGCCTAATCCAAATACAAGACTTTCCATTGATTTCACTGGGCTTTGGATCAGGCCTGAACTGAGCAAATCTGTGGTACAGTCATATTATTATTATTGACAGGACTGTGGGCTCTGCCTATAGTTAAGGTTGCTTGACCCTTCCTGGTCACAGATAAAACGGTGACTGGGAAGTGGAACATGCTCAGTTCGGACCAAATATTTGGTAAACTTAGTTGCCTAACTCTAACAAGTCTGTAAGCATGCACAAACTGAGATTTTCAGAGGTTTATAACTTGGCAAAATTTGGGCAGATTTTCATAGGAATAGCAAAAGGCAACTCCTTTTTACTGAAGTGAATCCCCTTCCAAATTTCAAGTCCTTGCTCTAAAGCAGGGATGGGTAAACTTTTTGGCCCAAGGGCCACATCAGGTTTGCGCAACTGTATGGAGGGCTGGGTAGGGAAGACTGTGTCTCCCCAAACAGCCTGGCGCCCACCCCCATCCACCCCTTCCCACTTCCCACCCCCCTCAGAACCCCCGACCCATTCAAGGCCTCCCCCGCCCCCCCCCCCGGTGTCTTATTTGCAGACGTGCTGAGCACTAACAGCTGCAATTAAGGTCAATGAGAGCTGTTCTTTGAAATTATAAAGTGCTATAAAATACTAAGTATTCTGAAAAATCCATGTATGTGTTTCAAGTTGCTCACCCAAAATTAGTGGAAACTGCTGCCAATTTTATCCTCTGTGCCTCAGTTCCCAAGCTAAACTGGGGATAATAATGACTTAAATCTCATAAATTCATTAATGTTTGTGAAGAGCTCACATGAGCACCATAGAAAAGCCCATTAAGAAATTAATAACTTTGTATTCAGCTCAGTATTTGGGTGACTTGAATGAGGCAGGAGTCCCATGGAATAAGTAGTATGTGATCATGTAGATGAAGACTGTATCAGTGTGTACACACAATGGGGCTTGAATTAAACCTTAATTCTGGCAATTTCTAACTTTAGAGTGTTTGATTTTACCTTCTTTTAATGTAGTTTGTTTGAATGTAATAGCACATTTCCCATGTATGTTAAGCCAAAGAATGTTCCCAATCTTCAGGGATCACTATGGAATGCGTATTTTTACATGAATTTTTCAGCAATACGTTTAACTTGGAAAAACGTGTAATTAACCCTCCCAATGTAGTAGTCCTGACTTCACTTCAAAACGGTCTTAAAGAAAGTCACCTTGGACATCTTCCCAATATGCTTTATAAACAACAACCCACAACAGGGTAGGATGCACATTTGAGGTTACTGTGTAGTGAGTGAAGGCTTGGCTTGAAGCTGCTCTGAACAACTAAGGAGACAAACCCATAGTTCATAAAATAGAAAATTGTTCTCCTTCCAGATTAATAAAGTTTAAAAGCCAACTGGAAGCAGAATAGACATTTCTTTATTTTCTTTCTTATTTTAAACTGCCAGTTTGTCTCCCCAGTTGTTGAAAGTGTCTTCAATCTGAGCTGAAACTGCTTGAAAAGCTTCTCATTGTAACAGATGGCACAGCTCAATAAACACAAGCTCCTGTTTCTTTATTCATTTGCAGTTGATTCAAATGAATATTTCAAGCATATTGTTCCTCTCCTCTTTTTTTATCATGATTGTATGGATTTGTGTGAGGTATGAATTAGAGATTTCATCCTACTTGGTGGTTAACCCATTATTGCATGCATGGGAATCTTAGCTAATCAGATTGCTGCCTTTGTTTCACTCATGTTACCACAGTGAATGCATTTTTTTACTCTGTTATAGTGTAAGAAGAAGGACATAGTTCAGTGGTCTGACCACAGAACTGGGAGCTAGGAATTCCTGAATTCAAATCCTAGCTCTGACACTGGAGATTTCTGGACAAATCACTTAGCCTGGCTTTCTCATCCTTGGGGTTGTGAACAGATGTTGGGGGCCATGACAATCTGCCCTTCCCATATTTCTCAATGAGAGCAGGGCCCTGGCAAGTTAGGAAGCATGTTTGAGGAGGTGGGTATTCTAGCTTGGAAAAGTCGAGGGTTGCTAAGTGAAACTAAAATGTTTAAACTTTGCGGCCTAAAGTTAGTCACACAAATTCATATTTAGGTTCCTACATGAAAGTGGCCTGCTTTTCAGAGATTCTGAGCACCTGCAACACCCATTATAGTCCGTGGAAACTATGGGTGCTTGGTACCTTTGAAAATCAAACCACTTATTGTAGTGCCAAACTCTAAGCATCTGTGTGGCCTGGTCTTCTCTGCCTTAGTTTTCCCAGTGTAAATAGTGTGTATTTCCTGTAAATAGGGTAGATAGTGTGTATTTCCTATCTCATTGTTCTGAGGAATAATTACTGTTTATAAAGTTTATAAAGACAAAAAGGGCTAAATATCAATATACAGCAGGTGTCTGAATTTGAATGCGCAGTTTCTAACTTTGCAGCTAAATATCATTTTGTAGTACAGAGGGTATAATATTCAACTCTCTGGAGTTTGTCATAGGGTCGTTCCCTCGATCCCACAATAAGCTGTACCTGGGCAAACCCTTGCACCCATGTGGAGTCCCACTGACTTCAACAGAACTCTGTGTGAGCTCACTGCAGGACGAGGCCCTTAGTCCTCACTCAGTCTCATCCTCTCTTCTCTCTAATAAGCCTCGAGCTGAGAAATGTGTATACATATATATATATGTGTGTGTGTGTGTATTTTTTTTTGTAGTCTAAGAAAAAGAAGAAGACCCAGTGCGCAGAAAAGGGGGCATCAAAAGACCACGTCTCTGCTGAAGAAGACAAATTGCCAGAAGAAGAGGAAGGTAATAAATGTGCGGATTAGCCGATTCGTATTGCCAGAAAGAAGTGAGAATTGTGGTGATTAAACATATTCATAGGAGTGGACAGAACAGGCGCTGTTTGGTAGTTGGCATTTAAAATAACAACATTACGAAAGAATTGCAAGTTTGACAGATGTCTTTGGACTAACCCCTCCCTTCCCACCGGTGAACAAGGAGAAGGGGATTGCAGTTCTGCTAACCACATCTCTTTCAGGCCACAGCTTCCCTAAGGGTATGTCTACACTGCAAGTAGACACCCATGGTTGGCCTGTGTATGCCAATTGACTCAGGCTCGCGGGCTCAGGCTGTGGGGCTGTTTCATTGCAGTGTAGACGTCTGGGCTTGGGCTGCAGCCCAAGTTCTGGGACCCTCCCACCTCACAGGGTCCTAGGGCCCAGGCTCCAGCCCAAGCCTGGAAGTCTACACTACAGTGGAATAGCCCCACAGTCTGAGCCCCCTGAGCCCAAATCAGCTGGCACAGGGTTTTTCATTGCAGTGTAGACATACCCTCAATGGCCTGTTCTTGGAAGTGGGGCTGGTGGCATGGCAAAACAGCCAGAGAGGGGGTGTGCTTATTCTTGCCAGAGGCACAGTTCCAGGGGAATAACAGGGTCCTGCCTTTGGATCTTGCCATGTTTGCATTTCCTTCTGGCCTCTCCAGCATTGACACAGTATGGCTTTTCTCTCCCACATTGCTTCTTGCTGGGCTTGTGCTTGAGGCCCTCAGAGCAGCATCACAGTATGGCCAGAGTGATAAAAGTATAGTAGAAACCTGTGGGTACAAACCGATCTGCACAGAAGGCATACAGGAGCTGTGGGAGCTCCCCAAAGATTCAGCAGAGGCCAGCAAGGTTCTGCTAGCTACAATTTCACTGGAAAATACCTTGTATTCTTTTCCCCAGATCATTTTGAAAATTACAAATCCTGAGCTTTTCTGGGTTTAAAAGATTATAATGTGATTACTGTGGCCATCACTGGGTTGGAGTCCTTCGCATTGCCACATTGATATTGTGTTAATATCAAACAGTGGTTCCTTGGAGCGTAGAAGAAAAATAGGAAATTTCAAGGACTTCATTCAAACAGACTTTTGTTGTTTTTAGTCAGACTGAGCAGATAATGAGCTATTTCATCCTGTGCAGAGACATCCTGGAAGAAGTGGGAGGCTCAGCAAAATCAAAGGCTCAGATTCTGCCTTGACTGACAGCGTGTGCCAGGCCCATTCACTTAACATGGATTGCACAGGGTATAAGTCAGGACAGAATTTGGTCCAATATGTACAAGGGTCATTGGATGTGAACAGTCAACCCCGTGTGGGAGCCATGTCCCCGAGTAGATCTAATTATCTAGTCAGGGACTAGGTTAGAAAACTAAGTAAGAATTAGTGTTATATACAAATATTAGGTAAATAGTTTTCTTCCACAGAGCTGAGCCCAGGAGCTTCTGGATGATGGCTCCATGCTATGAGTCAGATTAATTGACAACTGAGACAGCAATAGGATAGTGCTCTTTTTGTTAGTTAATGTTTTCATTGACGTTGTCATCCAAAGCAATTATCAAGCATACAGGGCACTTGGCTTTCTGATCTGACATCTTCCCTGAGGAAAGGAGTGTCATGTGGTTTGACTTACATAAAGGGCGGTAAATTATGTAGCGATACATCAGTCAGCCCATATAACAGACAGTATTGCCTTGCAGAGTAGTTATATATTGTAGCCTGAGTTTCTGGAAGTCCAAGGTGCCACAGGGATGGGCAGACTCTAATGGCTTACAATACCTAGGATTGTACATGATACTAACCGCAGTGATTGTGTTTTGTATGTTTGGCCATTACCAAGATGGTTGCAACATCGATTTTATAATCATCACTGGATAGCATGTACGTGAAAGTATTTCCTTTTCTTTGCCTTGTAAACAAATACGGGTCATACAGGAAATTTCTCATTCACTCATAGCAACTAGTGGCATGGAGAATGTGAACTTTGTTCTGTGTTGCAGGTGTTTGGCAGACCAAGATCAGTAGCCGAGAAAAAAGACACTTAAGGAAAGAACGGCTGAAACAAAAAGGTAACTCTCCAATATGTATTTACGTGCATATACAATATATGTTCTGTCTGGAACTCTCAATTCTTTTTCTCCCCTAGGGCCTATTTACCCCCTCAACTGCCTGACAATTTACTATTCCACAGTAAACATTTTCCATAAAAGGCCATTTGCTAAGGAAAAGAGCTTCAGTTTTTACCCCACGCTTTCATGAAAGCCCACAAAGATATTCTCAGGACTTTGAAAACAAATGAGATTGACTGATGAGGTGAATAAGAGATCTGCAGCAGTTAGGTCATCATGCAGACCTGTTGCATTTGTATAACTTGACCAAAAAATTGTATGTAACAGTTGATTTATAGAACCTACATAGTTGCCTACTTCAAAAAGGTTTCTGAAATTAAGAGCTATTTATAGTAAGCTGTCATTTCTTTTGCAGCTATAAAAAGGGAGACACAACATTACCAATGCTAATTATATAATACTTTGCATTCACATCACCTTTCCTCTGGTGATCTCACAGTGCTTTCTATTGACTTATTTAGGAAGGACCTATGTACTTATGCTAATTATGTTCTTATAACTCTGGTATGTGAAAGCAGGTCATGAAATTTATGCATTTAAAAAACCCATTTAAGCAATTTAATTCTCTTCAGTAAATGTATTAACACAGCAAAGAAATCCTCAAAGATAAATACAGCAGAACATCTTAGAGGCTGGGATGCGAAGTTAGAATTGTGACCCAAAGTGACACAAACATGGGCATTCGTGGCGAAGGAGAGAATTGTTTACAAAGGGGCACCACCTTAAAGTGTCCTTGGGTATTTCTCTAAAAGTGAAGATCAGGAGGAAAATGATGAACTGTGATCTGTACAAATATTTAGATATTTTTGGGACCACCATCTCCATCGCTTGGAGTCTTTAAATCAAGACTGGATGTCCTTACAGAAGGTATGCTCCAGAGGCTCCATCTTGGGAGGTGCTGAGCACTCTGGCTGCAGTCCAGCAAAGCATGTACGGCCACATGCTTAACTGTACTCACGTGAGTAGCTCTGTTTACATCACTGCGACTTGCATGCTTAAAGTTAAGCATGTGCTTAAGTGCTTTGCTGAGTTGGGGCTAGAGTGCTAAGCAGGGACCAATCCTAATTGAACCACGTTACTGGGGTACTGGAAATCACTGGGAGAAATTCAGCAGCTTTAGTTATGCAGGAGGTTAGATTAGATGATCATAATAGTCCCTTTTTGGCATTAAAATATATGAAGCTATGAAATAAGCCCTAATCCTGCTGAGTGCTGTTTGCTGTTTCATAGCAGGGAGGCAGCAGTAGCAGCATAAGCTGTATGGAGGTGGGGTTAGGATCATTTGTGTCCCCTTCTCCCCACACAAAAAACTAGGGAGGTGCTTTGTTTACCCTTAACTTAAGTCTGTGAATTGCTTTGGAAATCCTTTGGCTGAAAGGCGCTATGAAATCATCACCATCATGATTATCTTAATAAATGTCCTTCCGAGTGCTTGTTTCTCTGGCAATCTTGAAAATACCAATGTTCAACAAATTGTGTTTATTTTTCTTTTCCCATGAATGGTGCTCCATATGCAGGAAGGAAACCTGAAGTTCCCTTTCTTTCTCTTCCTTTAACACTCTGTGCCCCCATCTGTACCTTTATGACCTTGAGTTATCTTTCCAGCCAAGGAAGAATGGACAAGACTCCTCCGCCGTTGTTCCTTAAACCTCTGAAGGGGTCACTGATGAGCTGTGTGATGCCGTTCTTTCCCACATGGGCTGAATGTGCACCTTCCAAGTGCTCTCAGCTTCTGCCAGTCCCAGACCGTGGGGCTCTGTCTTTTTGCTATTGTGTGTGTAAATATATTCAATGGGCTTTGAATCAGGTCCTTAGTGAAGTCAAAGGGCGTCTTTCCATTGACTCTGGATCAGGCCTTACATTTTTGTTTATCCTGTACAAGGTCCCAACCCTATTTAAAAAAAATCCATTTTAAATGTTTGTTTTCAAGAAAACCCTAGCAGAGTGTCACCCGGTACCTTGGTGGTTGAAGCAGTCTGTGATGGGAATGGGAAAGGAACTGTTTGGCCACACACTGTGAGTAGGACGGAGGACAACAGCAGTAGTGGACAGGGAGCTCTCTGTGAGTCAGGGACAAAGACAGACGATGGTTCCGCTGTAAGGAACTCGGAAGCCACAGGAGAAGAATCTGAGCCCACACGATCTGAAGAGGATGTTTTTTCCAATGTAGGTGAGTGTCCCCAGTAAACCAGCCCACTGCAGGAGTGCAGACTTTGGGCAAGGGAACATTCAGCCAGTTCTATTAACCTACCTTTATGGCATTTTCCTCCAGCCTGTTCATTGAACAGTGTTCACACTAGACTTTTTCTCTAGCATTAAGGCAAAGAACCAAAAACAGCTGGGGAGCAAAAAAACTCTGTGGCGGGAATCTGTTTGTGTCAAAGCTTGAGGACAGATTTCTAGATGTTGCCTTCCATTTTAGTAGATGCAAATTTCAGATGCATTGTTGGTGCAGTTTTGTGCTCACAGTATAACTCAGAGTACAAAGTCCATAGCTGCACCTGCAAATCAGAGAGTTAGCCCTGGTCTACACGGGGGGGTGGGGGAATCGATCTAAGTTACGCAACTTCAGCTGCGAGAATAATGTAGCTGAAGGAGACGTACTTAGATCGACTTACCGTGGTGTCTTCATCGCGGTGAGTCAACTGTTGACGCTCCCCGACGACTCTGCCTGCGCCTCTTGCAGTGCTGGAGTACGGGAGTTGACAGGAGAGCGCTCAGGGGTTTAGACTAGATGCGATAAATCGATCCCCGCTGGATCGATTGCTGCCCACCGATCCAGCGGGTAGTGAAGATACACCCTGAGACTCCTACCTGTCCTAAACCAAAGGTGCTAAACTGAACCCAGAAAGGTCAAAGCCCAGTCAAGAGGCAGCATGATTTAGCAAGTAGGGCACTGGACTGAAACTCAGGAGAGCTGGTTTCTATTCCCCGCTCTGCCACTGACCTGCTGTGTGACGTTAGGCAAGTCACTTCTGCTCTCTGTACATCTGTTTTGTCTCTAACTGTTGGTCTGGCTTCAGGGCAGGGACTGTGTCGCACCACGTTATATTGGTTGTGGCTTGCAAGCACTACTGTGATACAAATAATAGTAAGGCAAGGCTAAAAGTTTGATCTTTAGGAAGACCTTTCTCTTCCTAGTTTTGACAGTGTGTGATAAGAAAGTTGAAAAATAAAACAAAATAGATTTGCTCTAGGTAATGCCTCTTTTTATGGTTATTTTTACTACTTAATTCAAATCAGTATATGATTTTCATTAAGGTCCATCCTATTGAATTGAATTATACACAAGTCAGTAAGGTGACTTGTCTTCAGTAACCCAGCAGGCCAGAGATGTAAGATGGTGTAACTTAAGACTGCTGTACACTACGACTCCATTAAACTTAAAAGATGTACTGATATGAAAGGAATGTTGATGTAACCTACACACTCAGGAGCCACAAAGTTGTTACCCTACTTTAATTTTCACTTTCTTACAGTGTCAGTTGCTTTCCTTGCTCCACTCTTTTCTTTGGCCCCATCAGGAGGGATGTGTGTGTGTATTAACACCATTTCATACTCCCTTAGATTCAGTGGGCCAAATTCCCAGCTGATATATAAGGAGGGTTGCGTGCAAATGTATGTGGAAGTGGGTGAGAGTGCAAATCGGAGCAAGTCCATGATGAGCCTAAGTTGGTGCACTTTGAGAGGATCAGAAGAAGATGTAAACTTCCTCCAGATTAATGGTATTTTTATACTGCAATCTGAGGTGGGACTGCAGCATAGGTAGACATACCCACACTAGCTTTACCCATGCTAGCGTGGCTAAAAATAGCAGCGTAGACGTGGTGGCACTGGCTTCAGTGTGGGCTATTCCATATATACCTAGAATCCCCTGCGTGCTTGCACAGCCCACACTGAAGCCCATGCTACACTGCTATTTTTAGCTAGGCTAGCACAGATAAAGCTAATATGGGTATGTCTACCTGTGCTGCAGTCACAGGTCAGGTTGCAGTGTAGACATATCCTAAGAGGCTAACTTTTTCAGATTTGATTGTCCTCCCAGCAGCAGCAGCATTGGCCACAGGGTTGGGGAGGAGAGACTGAAACATTCTGAATGTGTCTGTTTGAAGCCACATGCACCAATTTTGAATGCCCTGTTTGGGTTTGTTTTTTAATCCAGGAACATGGGACGTTGCAGAAGCAAAAGCTTATCCTGTGACCTTTGGGACTTTACCAGAGCTGTCCATGGAGTTAAGTGAGTGGTCTTTCTGTGGACACTTTTGATTCACTTCCTCGTGAGTTTTCCATCACCCATATCCCCAGATGTGCACATACATTGTATGATGACAGCATCAAAAAGGCAAGCTGCTACAGGACAGAACTGCACAAACAGAACAAATATTTAGGGGAAGATTGAAAAAAAGGCCACAAAAACCATAATCTTGGACATGAAGAAGAATAAACAAGAAAAAATATTATGAGAAGAGCTAATCCATAATACAAGTATTTTAAAAGATTGATGTGCTGTAAGGAGTTACTCAGCACTTGTATGAGTGAACTCTGCACTTTCAATTATTTACAAATAATCATCAAGCAAAGCTTTGGCTTCCTTCTTTCTATGAGCTTTTTCTCTCTGTCCTACTTTTCATTACGTGTAAAAAGGGATAACTGTGGACCTGATTCACCTCTCTTTCAAGTCAATAGGAGTCTTACTGTTAACTTGAATAGGGAGTTGGATCTGGCTTTTTACCAGGTGTATAATGGATGAGGTCTTTGTTTTGTAGGAACTAAAACTTCAATTTGATGTCTCTGAAAGTCATTTGCCAGCAGAACAGATTACGACTTTGAACAATACATGTTCAATCACTGTTCAGAGGGATATTCTGATAGTAATTTAATCATGTACTGTTCTTGTCCAGCCTTTTAAAATAAGTTCAGTGTTATGAGCAACATAAATTAATTTTGCAGCTTAAATTCCATAATGCTGCAGCTGTGCTGATCAGGAAAGTATTAATTGGCCTTAACAATGTGAATATACCTAAGTGATTGTTTTTGTTTTTTATTAAAAGGCATACTTGTTTCTATTCAGGTAATCTGAAGAGTAAATCATCTCAGGACAGCCCCTCCAAATATAATTGGAATGCCAGCTTACCCTTCCTCACAGTGGATGATGCATGGCTTGGGCAGCGTATGTTCAATTTTCTGATTGATTGATTGATTTATTTGTTTGTTTATTGTCTGTGGAGAGATGAATGCAGGTTGCTTTTTGCCTTTGTCGTTTGAGCATAAAGAAATAAGAGACTATCTACCAAGTATCTATTGGCCAGTTGGACTGCTTGCTTGAGGAAGGTGAGCGGAATTCAGTGCGCACTCAGGGTAAAATTCAGATGGGGGCCTGATTTTACAAAGTGCTGAGGACCCCCAACTCTAGCTGAAATGAATCAGAAGTGCAAGTGCTTTACACCTCCAAAAATCTGGCTGATGGTTAATAATATCGTTAATTGTAATTGAAAAGTTCCTTCTTGCTTCTTTTATAAATAACACTTTAGTTTATTAGAACTGAATGAAGTTTACAAATCAGATTTTCTTTTTAGCATTTATCCTGGTTGTTTACTTTGTGCACGTCTATCATCTTGAACAAGACTGTTCATTTTTACTTTAGTTACAATACATTTCTAATCAGTTTCTTTTCCAGGTTCTTAGCATAGTGCTGCAGTATTTGGGTTGCAGACATTTCAGGGAATTGTTCATCTCTTTGTTTTTAAGTTTCGGTTGGGATTTTTTTTTTAAATTCACAGAAACATTTTATTTCATAAAAACTTGGGTTTTGCAAAATCTAAATTTGGGAGTAAATTTGACTTGACAGTATCTCTTTTAAAGATTTGTTTTAATAATAGAATTTCAGCATGAATTTTGAGCTTTGTTTGTTTAAACTACAGGGTTAAAGAAACACTGTGGATATGATTTCTCTGTATTTTAAAAATGTGTTACTAGTCAACATAGGTTATTAATGTTAAAAACAAGTTAAAGTTAGATTTGCTTTTTATTATTTCATAGATTCTAAGGCCAGAAGGGATCATTGTGATCAATGTACTTTATCAATGTACTATATTTATTTATTAACATCTGATGAAGTGAGCTGTAGCTCACGAAAGCTCATGCTCAAATAAATTGGTTAGTCTCTAAGGTGCCACAAGTACTCCTTTTCTTTTTGCAATGTACTTTATGTATTTTGTTTACTTTTCTCGCTTCATTCAACTTAGATGGTGAAACTAAAGTGGACAGCTTGTAGTTGATGTGGCATCTTGGTTCCCACGCACTAGCACGATGCTGGAATGTTTGGGGGAAAATGGCTTCATTGATATATTTATAAAAAATAATTAAAAATGTATTAACTTCTGTCAAGAAACTTATTTTAAAAACCAGAACCTAAATTTGGGATCCTGTTAGTATCCCTTAAAACATAAGGGGAGAAATCCTGGACCCATTGAAGTCAGTAGGAAAACTCCCATTGATTTAATTGAAGGCAGGATTTCAACCAAGGTTTTCTACTGGATAGTGTTTGAATTTTAGAATCTGTGGGAAAGACCTATATAGATCTTGGAAGGTGAGGCTGGCACAAGTGGTATGGGTATCTGGTAGCTTCTTCTCTGCACCTTTTGGCTAAGATCCAGTGAAGTATCTAATTATACTTCTGCTGGTGGGGTACTCTATCCTGCATGACCTCTTTCATCTCTAACTTCTATGGTCATCCTAACTAAAAAGGAATCCGGAATGACTTCCTGAATAGAGGAAGCAGATATTAATCTGCTGCCATCTTTCCATTTCTGCCCAGCACTAATTAAGATTCTGGAACAGACACAACAGCTTGCCTGTCACTGGATTTTATAAATAACATATTTTATTAAAGAAAAACAAGTGTTCCCAGCTCATTGCACTCTATTTATCTTGATGGAGCTGTTTAGATATGCCAGACACTTGGCATTATAACTTCTGAGCATAGTCCTGGCTACACATGAGTAAGGAGGATGGCAGCATAGGTGGCTTTTCCATTGGTACTTCCTTGTATTTTATTTGACATATGCTACTGTTTGAGCATTTTGTGTTTGATTCGCAGTTGGACAGGGAAACAGAGCTTTTCTGCTTCCATGGAATAGCATCACGTTTAACTGACAGCTTGAATATATAGCTGTGAACTCTGCAGCTGTTGCTATTCACTGTACATTTAATTGAAAGAGGAAATGGAAGGTTTTCTGCATACAGCAGCTTTTTTGTAATTATTATTATTATTTATTACTATTTTTGATTTGCATTGTGCAGCATTGATCAGATAGCAAAATGAAGGGGAAGTCACTAACATGTATCCCTTCGATTTAGCTGAGATAATGCCTGGCATTAGGGTTTGTGCTGGCAAGTGACTTAGCTCTTTAAACAAGGCCTATTAACTGTTTCAGATATGAGGACTAAAAATGTTACTTATAACTTGAAGACCACAAGATGTTACTTCGACACATCCAGAGGAATACAGTCAATCAATTTCTTTTAATTTCCCTAGCAATTTTTTGGTAGGACTTCATAGTGGTTAGAACAAGGGACTAGGCGTCATGAGCCTGGGGCTCTGTTATTAGCTCTGCCACTGGCTCATGGACAAGTCACCCTCTCTGCTCCAGTTTATCCATGATAAAAATAATGACCTATTGCACAGAGGGTGGGTAGGGTTGAGACTTGCATCCAAACTGCAATCAGTGTAAGAGCTCACCTGGCAGGATAACTCTGGAGAATGTAAAACATTCTACTAAGTAAATACAGCATTTTTCATTTTCATGCAGTTTGTCTTTTTAACTGGTGACTTGGCCTTGTCCCATTATGTCTGCTAAAGGCAGATTTTCTTGGGGACCTGTAGGCTACCCCTATGTCTCATGACTTGCTTTCTTCATTCTGCACTGAAGTCAAAATGCATTTCAATTCTTTCATGTCAAGAGAATAACCAGAATCCATTCAGACAAAGAAAAGTCTCCAGTCTTGGATTCACCTATGACTTTCATATGTAGCAAATTATTCCAAAGGAACATGCAGAGTGAGGACACCTTCTATCTGGTTGACACTAGTTCAAACATTTTTAGTGAAACCGTTTCATCTGTAACACTTATAAGTAAGGCTATGTTTTAGTCATGGGTATTTTTAGTAAAAGTCATGGACAGGTCATGGACAGTAAACAAAAATTCATGGCCTGTGACCTGTCCATGACTTTTACTAAATATCCCTGACTAAAACTTGAGAGGCGGTGGGGGGTTAGCTCAGGAGGGTGGCCCGGGGCAGTGGGGAAGTTGGCAGGGCTGGGGCAGGCTCCCTACATGGCTCCTGGGAAGCGGCGACCCCAGCTTCTAGCTCCACGTGCTGCCTCCACTCCACGCCAAGCCCTGGTTCTGAAGCTCCCATTGGCTGGGAACCATGACCAATGGGAGCTGCGGGGGCGATACCTGTGGGCAGAGGCAGCACGTGGAGCTAGGAGCTGAGGGAGGGGAATTGTCGTCGCCCTTCTGGGGGACCCCCCCCAGGTAAGCCTCGCATCCCAGCCCTGAGCCCCCCCACACCCAAACTCCTGCTGGTGGGGGCGGGGGGACCCAAGATTGCCCCAGCAGCGGCTGGTCCGCCTGGCCCAGGGGCTGCCCGAGCTGCTCAGGTGGCCCCCAAGTCAGGTGCACCGGCTGCTGCAGAAGTCACGGAGAGTCATGGAATCCATGACCTTCATGACAAACATGGAGCCTTACTTATAAGTAAACCTTAGATGGGAATTTCCTGCCTGTGCTAAATGGATCCTAGTAGCTCTCCAAGTCAATGTTCTTTGGTACTTTGGTGTTGTTGTCCTAGCAGGAAGTATTCTACACTCTCTGTAATACAGCCCTCTGCCCTTCCCAGATATTACTGCAGCAACCACATAAAGATTGACTGCAATGGATTGGCTGAGCAGTTGCTCCAGCTGTACTGAGGATTGTGTTTCAGCAAATCAAGATCTCACAGGAACAAGTTGGTCACCTTGAGGAGAAGAGACCCTGATTACATAGGGTCAAAAGCAGTTGGCTGAAGCCTGTAGAGTGTAAAACTTTTAAATGGTTTCCTGAAACACTATAGTGACGCATCAGAATCAGTTTCTCTCATCAAAGGGTGGCACCCAGTGTGCTGTAACTCTATCTTGCCGCTTCATCCAGCTACATCCTTACATTCCACCCATTCAGCACTACAGCCGTTCTTCCCAGCCATTGGGCTAGACAAGCTGCATCCTCTTTGGCTCCTCCCACCCCACCTATCCACCAGATCCCACTGCATCTGTTCCCTTGCCCGTTTAGTACTTCTTCTCTGCGCTTGTCTCCACTTACCAGGGGATCAACACACGATGATCGATCCACCAGGGGTCGATTTAGCGGGTCTAATGAAGACCCGCTAAATCGACTGCCGATCGCTCTCCCGTCTACTCCGGTACTCACCGAAATGAGAAGCATAATGTAAGTTGACAGGAGGGTTTCTCCCATCGACCCAGCGAGGTGCAGACACTGCAGTAAATCAACCTAAGGTATTGTTGACTCCAGCTTGTTGACTCCAGCTACATTATTTACGTAGCTGGAGTTGTGTAACTTAGGTCAACTTAACCCCGTAATATAGATCTGCCCTCCCACTCCATCTCTTATTACTTTTTTGCCTGCCAGCCTGAAGCGTAGCTAACTGCCCTCTTGCAGTGGTAAAATAACAGGAAAGTAAGGAGCTTTTCTTGCTTGAGTTTGGAACAGCTTCCTGCTCACAAGAGTCAGTAACTTCTGATAATATTTAGACAATAGAACTTAAGAGTTTCGAACACCAGAGTTATGAACTGACTGGTGAATCACACACCTTGTTTGGAACCAAATGTATGCAATCAGGCAGCAGCAGAAATAACAAAACAAAAATGCAAATACACTACAGTACTGTGTTAAATATAAACTACTAAAAAAAAAAAGAACATTATTTTTAAAGAAAAGATTTGACAAGCTAAGGAAACTTTCTGTGCTTGTTTCGTTTAAATTAAGATGGTTGAAAGCAGCAATTTTCATTTGCATATTAAAGTTTCAAAGTTGCATTAAATCAATGTTCAGTTGTAAACTTTTGAAGGAACAACTATAATGTTTTGTTCAGAGTTACCTACAACCTCCGTTT